TAATTATCAATCTAACATTCTGCAATGTCTCCCTTCCTTTAGTGTCTTTGCCAGAATTGACAATGCTCACTGGACTGAATTTATTGTTGAAGTGGGTCAAAACATTTTGAAAAAATGAATGTTCTGCTTTGTATTCAACTGTTGAAGCTCATACTGAACAGAAAATCAAATGACTGATTCAATTCCTGAGAGCTGAAGTGCTCATTTTTCAGTCACTATGTGGAATTTTCAAAAAATATGTACCTCAATTTGCATATGGAAAACTAATAAAATGTTTTTGTATAGTAGACCAAACTTGAAGAATTTTCATTGATGGGAAAAAGTTATAAAAAAAATGCCAGTATGAGATTGATAGAGAAGATGTTAGAGCACCTGTTCCTCCTTGGAGAGGAGAACTTGAATAGTTCATTGGATTGTGTTTTGAGAATTACATCTATTCAATGTTTTCTAATGCAATTGCAAAATCATTTCCCTAGGTTATAAACTGATACTACAAAAGAATAATTACTTTTTTCAGATTATAAGAATAAACACTGCAAGCACATAGGAAAAAATGCCGCCTTTATTCTCACCAACCAGAAATACTGCTTTTGCTCTTAGAGTTTACATATGTAAAAGTACTCATAAACAAGTTCATGCTTTTCTTAAAATGAAATCATACTATTTTCTTTGTGTGTGTGTGTGTGTGTTTTTTTCCTGTTGTCTATCATGGCTCTTTCTACAGCAACATATAATTTTACACAGTGACATAAATTTTCATCATATATAATGACCTTATAGCAGACTAACAACTCAAAAAAAAAAAAGGTAGTAATAATGTTACTCGTAATGGCCCTGCTGGTGTACTTAGCTCTGCTTTTAGAAGAAAATAGTAGTCATAGACTGCTTAACTGCTTGGTGTGGCTACTTCTGAACTATGATTTTATTTGTAAAAATGGGCTGCTTATTTGGTGAAAGCAGTAGTCCAGAACACTCATTTATTTATTCAGGCCTCATAGTTAATAGTTAGTGGTTTTTAGGGTCTCTGTACTATAAGTAACCTAGTTTTTAACATCTTTGTGTATACCAAATGATATTACCTATTTGTTATTCTTTTATGATTCCCCCTCCCCCAGTTACTGCTTGGTTTCTCTAAAGAAACAGAACTAATGGAATGAGCTAGTAATTGCATTAGTATGAATTCATATTACATATATGAAGGGAACGTATTAGAGAGGCTTATAGACTGTGGTTTGAATGGCTGTCTCCTGAGCAAAAGGCTAAGGACTTGGTAGGTGTTCAGTCCATGAGACTGGATGTCTTAAGCAGTCCCAGTCTGTTGTTGAAATCCCCAAGAAAGTCCTAGCAAGGTTCTAATGTTGGAATCCTGAAGAAGCAGGTTCTCGCATCAATGAAGGGATGTCTCAGGGACAGTATAGATGAACTTGGTAGCCAGAGTTAAGCAAGGCAGGCCAAAAAAAAAAAAAGAGCTTCCCCTTTCCACGTCCTTTTAAGTGGGCTGCCACCAAAAGGTGTGGTGGTGTAGAAATTTTTAATCCAGACCCAGGGTTTCTACCCTGTCTTTGACCATTCAATTCCTGGATAAAAGACACACACAACCTTTATAGTTACAATAAGCCTTAAGCAGTGCAAGAGCTGTATAGAGATCTACCCTCCATGCTATTAGAATCTACTTTCCTGTCAATAACCCTGAGTTATTACTTACTAGGTTTCATCTGGGCTGCCCTTAACTCTAATTGGCGAGCCCTCAGGGCCTGTTTTCCTGAACTCATCTAACCCACAGTGGATTCTCCTCGGTTCACCTTTTTCTTGCCCTTGTGGTTCTCCTTGGACCCCAAGCCCAGGAATCTTAAACTACTCCTGTGTCTCTTCTACCCATCTATCAGCTCTCTGAGTCTTTACCAATCTGGCATTTCCCAATCTCCTTGAGGTTAAGGTCACAGTATCACTTGGGTTTATGTGCAGATTCTCTCCTCCCTAGGACAGCCTGGTCTTGGGGGGCTTAAAATTAGCATTAGAATACAAGCAGCTGCAAGCATAACAAAGCATCTTTAAGAGTGTCAGGGACTGGTGCTTGCCTGTGGGATGAGGTTCAAGTTGGGCCAATTATCGATTGGCCATTCCCTCAGTCTCTCTTCCATCCCCCCACCCCCCCCCCCCCCGCCTGCATTTCTTGTTCTCTACAGAAGAATAGGAGGAAAGATGGCAACCAATAATGAGGCAGTAGTGGATTCTCCATAACTTATTTGTATTGGGGTCAAGTTTTATATTCTGTGCAAGTGAAACAAGAAAAATACTACATATATAAGGTGTAAACTTAATGTTCAATAGGTGTATACCCATAAAAAAATCTTACCACAGGCAGGATAACTCCCAAGTTTTCTGACACCTCTTGCTAATCTCTCTCATGTGCCTTTCATACTTCCATCTTTGAATAACTGTTGATAAACTTTATGTGAATACAGATGGTTTGAATATTGTCTGTGTAGATTTACGTTTTTGCTGCATGACTTCTGTGGGTGGACAATATGCAGATGATTCAAAGTACATATCGAGATGACAGAGTAAAGCCACACGTAGGTATACCCTAAGTTGAAAGTTATTCAAATAATATGAAATAGTAACTGGACTGTATGGTCCTAATGGAGTATATTCTAAAGAACAAATAGCTGCATATATTGTTGGTAAAAATATTATTCTGAACTGACCTTAATACATGCATATAATTAAGATGGTATAAAAGCAGAAAGGAGGAGGGGAGATAGGTAGGATGGGGAAATGGGGGGAGGGGATGGCGTCTGTATTGTAAATAAATAAAATAGCCAATAAAAAAAAACCTAGATAAAAGGCGAAACTTTCCCCACCTTCGGCTCTTTTTTTCCCTTGTCTTTTCTCTCTCTCCTCTTTGTCCATGTTCTTTCCTAATAAAACCTCTGCCACATGAAACTGCAATGTGTGTGTATATATGTGTGTGTGTGTGTGTGTGTGTGTGTGTGTGTATACACACACTCATTTTTCTCAGACTGCAGAGCTCTAAAATATAAGACAGATGCATAATTATGTTAGTGTTAATTGGTTGCAGAAAGTTTTAGTAGAAAAAAGTTACAAATGTTAGAGTTAAAAAGATTCATTTAAGACTTGTTGACCTGAATTTAATTGGTAACTTTAATAGAAAATCAAGATACATAATTGCTGATTTTGTCATTAAAAAGAGTGTGAAGGTAATGATCAGAAAATACTGAAAGACCACCAGTAAAGTCATGACAGAAAGGACCATTGTGCATCCAGCCAGCCCAGGCTTCCTCCATTGATAAAGAAAAGATAGTTTCAAATCATAGGAACAGTGACCTCAGTGAGATGAAACACACCAAATGCATTTTAAAGCTAGAACTCATATAATGGTTTTAAAAGGATCTCAAACTTCTAAGAGCTCTCCCCTACCCAAGACCTCTGCTCACTCTTCGTTAGGAGAAAACATAGCTGCTACCCAAAGGCAGAGCTATTAGCCAAAGCTAGCCCAATTGAAATTGTCTCCTAGGATGCTATAGATCCTAACTGACTTGCAAAAAGCCACCTGAGATACTGTAATCCTGTCTGATGTTGATCAAAAAAATATCCATTGATACGAACTTGAGCTGTGTTCTAGATCTAGATCTAGGTGTGTGCCTACTGAGTGCTGTGGGCCAGAGGGGTTATATAGCAGCTACATCTGAAGTGAACTAGAGAAACTTTTGGTTTAGTCTCTGTGAGCCCCCATGGGCCCAGGTTAGTTGACTCTAGGTCTTCTTGTGGTGTCCGTGACCCCTACGGCTCAGTCAATTCTATTCTCCACTCTTCCACGACCCCTCCTCCCCCAAGCTCCGCCTGATGCTTATCTGTGGGTCTCTGCATCTGCCTTCATCTGCTGGCTGAAGCCTCTCAGGAGACATTAAGCTAGGTTCTGTCTGCAAGCATCACAGAGTATCATTAATAGTGTCAGGGGTTGGCTCTCTCCCATGGGATGGGTCTCAAGTTGGGTCAGTCATCGGTTGTCTGTTGCCTCAGTCTCTTCTCTATCTTTATCCCTGCACATCTTATAAGCAGGATAAATTTTGGGTTGAAGGTTTTGTGGATGGGTTGATGTCACCCTCCTTCCAGTGGAAGTCCTGCCTGACTACAGGAGGTGGCCACTTCAGTTTCTGTATTCATTCCTTGCTGGTAGGAATCTCAGCTATGGTCACCCCCATAAATTCCCCTTGGCTTTCCCTGTCCCAGGTCTCCATCTCGTTCCAGAGATGGCCCCCACTGATTTCTGTTCCCTCTGCCACCCCTCCCCTGCCATACTTGTTCCACAAGGCCACTTAATGAAGAGCTACAGGCATCGGTGGCTGCAGAGAGATGGGGAATAGTTTTCTTCAAGGACAAGCTTCTTTATAGGTTATTCAATCCCAAGTGTTCAGCCCTAAACACATGTGCACATACAAGCAACACTAAATGCGTTCAGTAATATGGATATGTGTACAAATATATGTGTAACAACAGTTACAGAAGAAGAGATGAGTGTGTGTGTGTGTGTGTGTGTGTGTGTGTGTGTTCGTTGTAAGCACAGAAGGAGTTAGAAGGAGAGGTGATGTGAATACAGCACTCGCATGTGAACGAGTCAGAAAAAGTTACATTTCGGTTAAAGTTTGATAAGCCAATATTTGGAAGATTGGTCACTATTTGTAAATTTTCCTAATTTTATTTTATTATCAGACTTTAGTTTTCTTGGACTTAATCTCATGGCAGATCCAGGTCCAACAATTTACCTGTGAATTAAAAAAAAATATTTCTCTTTACAGCTGAATATTATTCCATCAGACAATTAATTTTTAAAGCTACTGTGGTAACATTTTAAATATATAGTTATATGATTTTATAAAAATAGGCAAATAACTGAATTCTGTGGTCTAAAAGTTTGTTGATATGTGAATAGCTGCCTATCTTTATTTTCATTGGTATCTTTCCTTTATATTTTAAAGTGCCACCTGAATTCTTGAAACAACCTGCTAACATATATGCTCATGAATCCATGGATATTGTATTTGAATGTGAAGTCGCTGGGAAGCCAACTCCAACTGTGAAGTGGGTCAAGAATGGGGATGTGGTTATCCCTAGTGATTACTTTAAAATTGTAGTAAGTATTTTTTCAAAGACGTACATTTTATTTCTGAACTTTCAAGTGTTTTTAAATGTAATAATCAAAAGATATAATAGATATACCAATTTAAATTGCTATAAATGAAGAAATAGAAAAGTTATAGAAAAAAATCATAGAATCTAATTTAATTTTAGCCTGTAGAGAAATCTTTGCTCAGAAGTGTTTTGGTAGTTTATATGAGGTTACATAGCAAATCCGTGGCTGGAATAGGCTCAGAGCCCACCAAGCCTGCCGTGTGTGTGTGTGTGTGTGTGTGTGTGTGTGTGTGTGTGTGTGTGTGTTCGTGTTCTCATTGCCTTCACAGCTATACTTAAGGAGCAGATCTCTCTCCCTTTCCCCTCTCTCCCTACTCCCCAGGGTCTCACTGTGTATCTCTGGCTGTTCTGGAACTGTGTAAACATGGCTGCTCTGGAACTTACAAAAATCTACCTGCCTTTGCTTCTTGAGTACTAGGATTAAAGGCATATGTCACCATATCCAGCTCTGTCTTAAAGTATGGAAAGATAATCATTTTGAAAAGCTTATAAAAAACCCTACAAAACTTTATATATTTATTTTAAAAATTATCATATACATACCCTTCAAAGTAAGAGTGACCCCGTGCTAACACTACTAACAACAAAAATCCTTTTGAGTACATCATCACATAATGCGCTTCATTTAATTTGCACGTATTAATTGAAGGAATTTTCAATGTAGATACAAGCAAGACATGGTGACATTTGCTTGTAATCCTAGCCCTCAGGAAACGAAGCAGGAGGATAATGAAGGGGCTTGAGCCAGACTAGGTTTCATTGAGAAGGTGACAAAACTGTAAATGCAAGCAGTGTTAACTGTGAAGCTAGATTGATATTTCAGTCTGTAAAGTACTTGCCGCGTAAGCCAGGAGGCCTAAGGTCAGTCTCCTGGAGAATCCCAAGTAAGGCCTTGAGTTGAAGAGCCACACTGTGGAGACAGCGACGAGTGGATCCCAGAGGCTCACTGCGGCTAGCCTAACCTAACCAGTGGCTTGTCCCAGATCCCAGTGTGAGAAAAAAAAGTGTTAAATGTAGTAAGAATTCTTTGTCAAAATTGCATTTTAATTTTATAGTAGATATTATTACCTACTAATATTATCATTTTCTAATATCATACTAATAGGATTATTTAGATTTTAGTAATAGGTATTAATGGCCTATCTTAAAGTCTTTACTCAGAACTTATTAAAAAGCTCAGAAGTACTTACAGTGTTTTAAAGACAGTGTCATTTTATAAATCTGTCATGAAGTAATTCATTTTTGTGGGAGTGTTTCTGAAATGTGTAATCTCATGTTAACAAAAAGTGGTTTCTGAGTACTTAACATTAAAACCAATCTGTTGTGATTAAATTAGCATTTCTATTTTATCATTATTTCTGTGTTGTTTTTTTAAATTTTAAAGCAGCGTTTATGCTAATAACAATATTTCTTCCTTCTCTTTGAGAACATATCCTTGAGGTTTTAAACTCATGTTTAATAATTAAGTCATAAAATTTTATATGTTTTTCTTCCTTAGAAGGAACATGATCTTCAAGTTTTGGGTCTGGTGAAGTCAGATGAAGGGTTCTATCAATGCATTGCTGAGAGTGATGTCGGAAATGCACAGGCTGGAGCCCAGCTGATAATTCTGGAGCATGGTAAGAGGGGACCAGCAGTGAGCTGAGGTGCTTGCGTTGGAAACACCATTCCTCCAGGGCCCTTGTGATTGCTAGCTTGTCTGGTAAAGCCCGCCCGTGACACAGCCTTGTGATTGCTAGCTTGTCTGGTAAAGCCCGCCTGTGACACAGCTGCAAGAGAAAGGACAGCAGTCTAAGTCATTCCTGTCACTTATAATTACTTAGAGGGCCTTAGCAGTTAAGAGCGCTCGTTTCTCTTTCAGAGGACCACATGATAGCTCACAGATGTCTGTACCTCCAGTCCCAGGAGATCTGATACCCTCCTCTCCTCTCCCTTGGTGTACCGCATGGGTTGCACATACATACATTCAGACAGAACATTCATATCCATTTCACAAAGTCTAAAGAAGAGGGCTGGAGAGATGGCTCAGTGGTTAAGACCACTGATTGCTCTTCCAGAGGACTTGGGTTCAGTTCCCAGCAACCACATGGCAGCTTACATCTGTCTGTAACTCTAGTTCCAGGGCTTCTGACACCCTCACACACCTATACATACAGACAAAACATCAATCAACATAAAAAACAATAATAATTAAAATAAAAGTAATTTTTTAAAAATCTAAAGAAAAGGAAAAAAATTACACATGTTCGAGAACATTAAAAAGTTGATATTAAGAAGAGAAAAAAACTGAAAAAGTCCTATACAAGTGTCTATCCGAACCCATTTGGGTTAATCTCACAACTTTGTTTCTGTGTCATAAGGAAAGCTAATTAATGTTTACTTTGTACTAGTTGATTTTTCAAACTAAAATTAGTGTACCTTTTCTGATTATCATAAAAATACCTGTTTATTTTATAAAATAAATTCAATCAACATTGAAGAATAGAAAATTAAGTGTCAAGTCAGGGAAACCACTGTAATTTGAGAAAAGAAAGCTTAATATTGTACAGAGTTGTTAATTCTAGAGAGTAACAAGTATTTAGCTAGTAAGAAAATGCCTCTTCCAAATAGCATTGGCATAGATAACAAGCAACAGTAGCCTCTGGGTAAAGATAGTGCCTACAGAGAAACCTTCACAGAAGGCTGAAATCTGGACGTTATTGGAGAGAATGTGGTTCTGGTTTTCTAGATGTCAGAGAAGTTGATACAGTGCTTTGTTGTTGAAACTTCAAATTTACTTTTTAGGGTCTAAGGAGGGTTGATCATAAGCTGGTATCTCACCAGAGGCATTTTCTGCAAAAGCACCCACGAGGTTGTGTGTTGGGGAAAAATGCTGGCTCTCAGAATCTGCACATTAGAGCTAAGAAGGAAGTCCTCTCCTTCTATAGTTGGTATCTCTAGTGTCTATGCTGATACGTGTAACGTGCATCAGCTGAGAAAAAGAAAAACTATATTACAGGCGCCTGGCTTCATTTTTGTTGAGCAGGAAGTAAAACCTGAATTTGGAACTGGGAAGCATTAATTTGATGACATTCTCTCAATCCTACCTCCTATGAATGTTGCATAGGTGCACACAGATATGTATATTGTTTCCTAACCTGTGTTTTTGCAACATAATCCCATGTACATCTTTCCATGCTAACAGTTTACAACATCGTTCATTGTTGAATAGAATGTGTGTGTGTGTGTGTGTGTGTGTGTGTGTGTGTGTGTGTGTGTGTGTTTATATAACTTATTCTCCAATTACATTTAAGTTGTCCTTTTTGTCATTTTTTTTTTGTTTATTGCTACTATGAACAGTGTTACAGTGAACCTTTTTTATGTCATATTCTCATACTAAATTACTGTTATGTAACAGGTTGGTAAGACTGATCATTTAGCAACTAAAGCGTTCTCTTTTTTTCTCCCTCTTCTCATTTGCTTTGAGCATTTCTTCTGAAGGCATGACAAAGGCAGCATTTTGGTTATCTGTTCCTGAGTCAGATTCAGTTAGGTACTAGTGTAGTTCTGGAGTTTCCTCTGAGCACTATAGCTTGACCAGGGAAGCTGTATGGCAAAGCTGGCACCTTATTGTCTTTTTACTAAAACAGCATATAGGATTTATAGATGCTATTTTTAAAAATATACTTGAAATAATGTCGTAAAAGGTGTAAAATATCTGGACAGCTTTTTTTCACCCTGCATTTCTACTGGGATTACCTTTCTTGAATTTTAACAACTTTCAAGTTTGTAAAAATAAAATGTACTGAATTGTGCACCAGCTGAATGAGTTTGGTAGACAGGTTTGCTTGTGTGTTTGCTGTACAGTGGCAATGGTTTTCCTAGTAAACTTTAGAAGTATTTAGTGTATTCATGTCCGCCTAAGCACTGGGGCTTGAGCTTGTGTTTGTGATTACTACTATAAATTGCACTTGCCAGTGTAAATGGATGGCTGTGTTAGGAGAATCTTACAGAGCTTTTATCTGAATGTTTTGGTGGTATAATTTTATTAATAGTATATGTTTTTCTCTGATTTTGAGAATATTTATGGGCTTTGGGAATCATATTTTTTATAATCATATTAATGATACCCTGGCAAGTCATGGTTTATTAGAAGGATATAAGTCCCATGTTTATTAAATTTGTGTCCTATTTTTGCATTTTATTTTTTATTTGCTTAAAAAATAATTTATTTGTATGTATGTGTGCAAGCTTATCCATGTGCCCTTGGAGGCTAGGCTTCAAATTCCTTGGAATTAGACTTATAGGTGATTGTGAGCTGCTTGTTGTGGGTGTGGGGAATTGAACCTGGTCCTCTGCAAGAGCAAGTCCTTTTAACCCCTGAGCTGGATCTCCAGCCCCTGTTTACGAGATGGGGAAGGTGGTACATGTCTCACATTTTACCCAGGTATCAAATTCCTTGGCTTAATGTGATCCTCTTCAATCTCTCAAGATTAGAACTATAAGAAACATTTGCCACCATACCTGGCTTTTAATGTTTTAAATGTCTAAACATTAATTTTTTTTATCACTAAGTGGTTAAGAGCACTGACTGCTCTTCCAGAGGTTCTGAGTTCAATTCCCAACAACCACAGGGTGGTTCACAACCATCTGTACTGGAATCAGGTGCCCTCTTCTGGTGTGTCTGAAGAGAGTGACAGTGTATTCATATACATAAAATAGTAAATAAATAAATCTTTAAAGAAAAAAGTCATGTGTATGTGTCTCTATGTGGGCATGCACATACGAGTGTAGGTGTTGACAGAATCCAGAGGTAGTGGGTCTCTTGAGGTAGACTTATGAGTGATTGCGAGCCACCCAACATGGGCACTGGGAACCAAACTTAGGTCTTCTGCAAGAGCTGTAAGTGCTTTCTACTGCGGAGCCATCTTCCCAGCCCCTTAATGTTATGATTTTTTAGACAGATATTTATGTAGGAAAGCCAAAATGTAAGGACCTTTAGGAATATCAGCTGTTGGCCTTCTGGAACAGTAAGTGAAATTTCATAATTATAACTAAAATATGTGAGACATTTTATGTCAGATCATCAGAAAGTACAATTTCTTACTGACTTAGTAGGTAGAATTTGAGAAGCATTGTTTCAACATTTTCTTAATTAAAATATTTAAAATGTAAGACGGAGCTGGCATGACCATTCAGTGGGTAAAGGCATTTGCCACCAAGCCTGATAATCTGAGTTCAGTCCCCAGAGCCCATATAATGGAAGGAGAAAAAAACCCTTAAATCCCCTCAAGCTGTCCTCTGATTTTCATACGTATGTTGTGCCTGTCCACACTACATGTGTACATATATATGCACAGTTAAATAAGCAAAATGTAATAATTTTAAAAATACAGTAAAATAGATTTAAAATATTAATATCAAACTTGCATTTTCAGTAAGGGCAGATACTTTCTTTGTTGTTACTTGTTTTGATGTTGCTATTGGCAGTTTAACTTGTTTTGAGATCTCTTCCTTAGTGGCGAGCTCACCATCCTCAGCCTTCTAAGTGCTGGGGTTCCATTGCATACTACCGTATCTGACAACAGCAACTCTTAGTTTTAAAGACTTTTAAAATATTTAATTGAACATAAAATGGAATTACTTCTGAATTATGACATTTCAAATTAACACTTGTTTTTAATAATTGTCTGTTGAGTGATTTTTCTTTAGTTGTCAGTAAAATTAGTACAGCTTAGTAGGGTGGTGTTGGGGCTACATTCCTGTAACCTTAGCACTTGGAAGTCAGAGGTAGGAAGATTCTGAGTTCCAAGCCAATCTGGGACTTCACAGGGAGAATATATCTCAGTTAGATAGATGGGTGGATGGACAGACAGATACAGATATATTAAAGGTAGCAAAACATGAGGGAAAATATTGCTAACTTTTCATTGTCTTTCCTGCTTGTTTACATTTAAAATTTTCCTTTAATTTTTCTTGTAAGACTGAAATGTAATAAACATAGAAATACACTTTTTAGATGTATATCCTGTCAGCGGGTCTAATAATTGGCAGTATTTTTTGTTGCAGAAGGGAAGAAGGGCCGATGAGAGGAAGTAACATGAGCTTGTTTATAGTAAAGGAAATTCACACATCACCAACACATTAAATGACTTCTAGGACATCATGGCCTTGGTAGATAAGAATGCATACTGAGTATTATGAGTGATTGTTTTTTCATTTTATTTGACTGAAATATCTGTCAAAAATTCCATATATTTCTGAGGTTACTGAATGATAGATGTTCTGGAAAAAGTGACTAAAAGCTTGGCATGATTAAAAGTTGGCTACGTAGCAAGAAATCATTAGTCAGTAGTGGAATATTTTAAATCTAAAACACTACTTGCAAAGGTTAGTTAGTGTTGATCAAAGGGTTAATTCTCATTTATTTATTCCTTTGCTTTTGTACTAGTAATTATAATTTTAGAAAAAGTGTATAATTTGACTCTTAATTGTGCTTCCTGTATCTGGGCACTTTCTTGTTTTTGTTTTTAAGACTCTCACTTTATAACCCAGACAGGCCTGGAATTCACTACATAGCCTAGGCTGGCCTCAGATTCACAGAACTCCTTCTGCATCACATTCCTGAGTGCGAGCATGA